AGATCCCCGCCCCATCCTGTGCCCCCTATGGGCCCCAGTGCCCCTGCCACCCCCACCTTGCAGGCCCAGGACACTGCTCATGACGACGACGTGGCCACTACGCCGGCGCTTCATGTCGGGCAGCACCTGACGCACGAGTCGCAGCAGCCCCAACACATTGGTGTCCAGCAGGCGCCTCGCAGCCTCCACACTCTGCAGCTCCAGCGGCCCCACCAGCCCCCGCCCCGCATTGCTCACTGCAGGGGGAGGGGGGCTGTGAGCTGCAAAGACCCCCCCACACCTCTTGGGGCACCTGCATCTCCCAGCCTCTCCCACCATGGACATCCTGACCACTGGGTCCAGGGGGGAGCCAATGGGAGTATGGGTAGAGCCTAAGTGGGTGGGATCCAGATGGGTGGAGTCTAAATGGCTGGGTGTGGGGGGCAGGTCTAAGTGGGTGGGTGGACCCTACTTGAGTGGGATCTAGATGGGCGGAGTCTAAGTGGGTGGGTGGAGCCTGAGTGGTGGGCTCTAGATGGGATGGAGTCTAAGTGAGTAGGGTCTGGGGGGGGCGGAGCCTAAGCGTGTGGGTTTGAGTGGAGTCTGAGTGGGTGGGACATAAGGGAATGCAGGGACTGAGGGGGTGGAGCCCAAAGTGAGTTAGTCTGGGTGGGTGGAGCCTATAGTGGGTTTGATCGAAGTAGGTGGAGCCTAAATGGCTGGGTCTGGGTGAGCAGGGCCAAGTGGCCAGAGTCTAGGAAAGTGGGCCATGCCTGTCCCCTTTGGCAGATCCCTGGCCCCTGCCCACTGGGAAGGGCAGCCCCTCACCCCTCACCCAGCACATCCACGCGCTGCTGGGGGATGGCCTCCACACAGCGCCGCACCGACTCCTCACAGTCCACATCCAGCTGCCGGATCTCCAATGTGTGGCCCAGCGCCGTCCCTGCCCGTGTCTCCAGCTCCCCACGCCGGCCCAGGTCCCGCATAGTGGCGACAACTGGGGGAGAGACAGGTGGGGATCTCTGGGTTAGTGGGGGCTGCGTGTGGCAGCGCACTTCAGGTGTCTGCCACTATAAGGAGTCAGGCAAACTGCAGAGCCGCCGGCAGGTGGGGTCAGGCTGATCAGGACCACGTGACTGCAGGGAGACCGCCTGCCTGGACGAGGGCTGAGCTGAGACAGCATAAACAGACCGTGTGCTCTTGTACATGTGACAAAACTGCCCTTTTTAGTGGTTTAATTACCCTTTTATAGCAGTTTAATTGCGTCACATGTTACATGCGTGGCAACACACTGCGATGTAGATGACTTTGTAACAAAGACCAGGGCCCCCCCACAGCTCACAGCCCGCTGGCAGGTCGCCCCCCAGCTGCAGGCAGGCTCTGCCAAGGAAAAAAAAAAGATCGGTCCCCTCGCCGTAACAGTGACGGAAGCCCTTAAAGAGAAACGCTGAGTTTTTAATTGTCACAATTAAAAACCCACTGTTTCAATTTAGGGGCAGTAAACCCCCGTCACGTGTACAAGCGGCCCGTGAGAGCAAGATGGCAGTAACACTTGGGGAGTGGAAGGAACAGCATCGCCCAGCCTGAACACTGCAGCTCCTGGAGGCCATCCGAAACAACTGGAGGAACTATGGGGATGGAGAAGGGTCCTAGGGACCCAGTGTGGGGGTCCACCGCCCTGAAAGGGGCTGAGGGAGCATCTGGTGAGAGACCAGCGTAGCCCCCAGAGAAAGAGGGCTGACTATGTTGAGGCCTGGAGAAGCCAGACCGCCTAGGGGTAAGAGGGCTGAGTATAAAGAGGGCTGAGAGGGAAGCCAGGCCAGACCTGGGAAAAAGAGGCCGAGTGCCCAGAAGCCTAGGAGGAGGCCAGGCCAGATCTGGGAGAGTAAGGGCGAAGATGGGAAGAGGACTGAATGACTGAGTCGCAGAGGCCAGATCTGCCCAGAGAAAGGAGTGGGGCACGCAAGAGACCTAGGAAAAGCACCAAGCAATCCAGAGCGAGGGGCAGCGTGCACCAGAGGTGTAGTGAGGGGCCAGACCAGTCATGGGGAGAAGCACTGAGGCTCATCAAACCAGAGTGACCAGGTGGACCTGGAGAGACGGCCTGAGCAGCTGAGATCAAGCTCCAGACCAGGGGGAAGACCGAGAGAGGGGCTGGCATGATCTTGGGAAGGGTTTGAACTCTGTAGTGAGAAGGTAAGACGCATGAGGGTGGGCCCATGGAAGGGCCTAACCGCCAGCACACTTGACTCCAGGGACCTCGACTGGCCCATGCTGGGGCCAGGGCCCAGGAGGGGCCGAAAGGTGAACCTCAAGGAGGTGGCCAGAGCTGCAGAGAGCCTGGCACCTCAACTGGCCTGATAGCGGGGCCAGGGCCTTGGAGAGGCCAAAAGTGTCTGCGGGTGGAGACCATAGATGAAAGGTAGGGGTCAGGGTGAGCACAGCTCAGATGATGGTGGATGACGGTACCACCTGAGGAGGAGGGCTCGAGGATGAGGGGTCCACATGTGAGTAGGGCCCGAGGTAGAGATGCAAGATGGGGCCAGAGGGCCTAACAGCCACCAACCCAGGGGAGGTGCAGAACCTCTAAGGGGGGCCCAGGGAAGAAGATGGGGAGATCAGGTAGGCCAAAGGTCTCTGCAGAGAGAAACCACAGCTGAGAGTTAGGGATCAGGGTGAGTACAGCTCAGCTGACGATGACTGATTAGCCATCTGAGGGGTTGAGAGGCCTGAGAGTGGGGTTGAGAGGCTGAGTAGATAGAGTGTAACCAGACACGAGTAGGATGCCATCTACGAGGTATGGGACGGTGTAGGGTAGGCATGGAGCCATGTGATTGGCCCCGAAGGCCAGGGCCACAAGTCAAGGGTCATCCCAGTAAAATCAGGGCAGCCTCCCACAACCTATATATCAGTTCACATCAAGGCATGGTGGGAGAGTGTGGGACGGACTGTCCCCTAGAACCGGGTGGCATAGAATTTTTGTTGTGGGTGCCCTGGTAGCACCCTGTTACACTGGGTTCCGCCCCAGAGGTGGTTGCATCTCAGGGCTGGATGAGGGATCTCTGGGTTAACAGCAGCTGGCTTGCACACCAGAAGTGGTCACATCTCAGTGCTGGGAGAAGCACTCCCACCCTCTCACCTCGGAATCTCCTCAGCTCATCTCTGGCCAGGTGGACGGCCAGGGCCAACCCAATCCCCGAGGAGCAGCCGGTGATCAGCACGTTCCTGCAGGACATCCTTCCTTCCCTGTCTGAGTGAGCAAGAGCAGAGGTCAGAGGTCAGAGGTCAGGCAGTGAAACCAAGGGGGAGGAACTGACCAGGCTGATCAACCCACAGGCTTCAGGCCACTGGCTGGGAGGGGTCAGGAAGAAAAGTCCCCATTTTTCCTGAGGGGTTGGAGAGAAGGGGGTTATAGAGAGGATGGGGATAGTATCAGGTCCCCCAGTCACAGACTGGGAGCCAGGTGTGCCAAGGGTTGCACATAGATGGGGCCCAATACAGGCTCTGGATCTGCTGCTCTGTTTTCTGCTCCCTCCCCTATCCATGCTCTTTCTACTCCCTTCCCTGTGCTCCCTGCCCCATCAGCTGCTCTGCTTTCTGCCCTCAGCCCTGAGACCCAAGCCCCAACTGCTGCTCTGCTTTCTGCCCCCTCCCCTTATGCCATGGTGCAGCCACCCCCGCTCTACTCACCACTGACTGCAGCCTCTGGAAGGGATGTGCAGTTGGGGTTCAACCCAGCTGGGCTGAGATGCAGCAGCTGTGTCCCAGGACCTAAAAAATGGGCCAATCGGGGGTGACCCCCCGCCAAAGCAAGGTGAGGGACAAGAAAAAGGAATCACTGCCCCCCCCATCCAGTTGGGGGGGGGGGGGGGGGGGGGCAGGAGACAGAGACCGTATGGGCTCTGACCCATCTAATCCCTCCCCCAGCTGCTCCTTGTCAGATCCCATCAGCTGATCTGTTTGACAAGCCACCAGCAGGAACTGGAGTGGGGGAAGGGGGCGGTTTGGGTTACGTGGTAATTAATGACCTCCCAGCTCCTCTTCATTAACAAATCCTTCCCCTCCCTGCTGCTGAAC